GAGTTTGAGTCGAGTTGAGCTTACTTTTAAAGTTTTCAAGTTCGAGTCGAGCTCAGCAATACTCGAGTTCGACTTGGATCGTTTAATAAACGACGTCGTTTGGTTTAATTTTTTTTTTAAAAAAAAACAAAATTGGCGGGTTTTTTTCCCAGTTTTTTCTGGTTTTTAGCCGGTCCGGTTCGAACAGTTCAACGGTTCTGGCCGGTTAACTAGTAGCAGTTCAACCGGTGTGGATTGAACCGGACTAAGCAACGGTTCCCGGTTGAACCGGCCGGTCAGGTCCGGTTAACTTATTAGGGACTGGTTAACGGGTCATGTAAACATCTAACGGTCCAGCTCAGCTTTTTGTCACCCAAGCTAACGGTGGTTAACATCAAGTTATAATTTTATTACAAATCGATGACGTTAGTAATTAATTTGTAACTTTTGAAAGTTCAATAAAAAATAAATATTTACTCAAACTTTAATGATCATTCATATAGTTTATCCTTAATTTAAAAAAAATCATCATTAAACTTTCAACTTTTGTTGGCTTTGGTTATTAAATTATAAAATGTTTAATGTGTCAATCGAATAATATTAAGAAAAAAAGTGTAAATTATCTTTAAAATTTTGAGGAAGTAATTGAAAGATAGCAATAATTTTGATAACAATTTAGAGTAATTTGACTTTTGAACCTAGTCAAAATAAATTACCTTATTTATTCGCAGAAAGAATTTTTTCAAATTCATTAAATTTACTTATTTTTGTGTCCGCTTGATTTATGAGATATACGATTATCTTTGAAAATAAAATTATCGGAATGTAATATATTTTTGACAAATTTTAAATCTAATTATAATCATATTAAGAGGAGAAAAAAGAATAACAATAAAGGAAGAAAAGAGAAAGGTCCCATTAGATCTAAAATCTATGACCTAAAAGAAGTAACTAAACAGTGATGAGCAACAGGAAACATATACTTAATATATTAACGAGAAAGCAATAATTACTTGTACTCAAAAAAATTCACGGTGCACGTATAATTAGTCCTTAGAACTTGTTGTTTTCTTTTGCAACCGTACACCTTCTTCCCAATTGTAACTAGGTTAAATTTATTGAGTCGAGTTGAGTTCGAGTATTGTGAAGTTTGATTTAGTTCGAAAATTTTAAAATAAAGCAACAGAAAGTTTGAGAGCCTAAAATTTTTAAGTTCGACTCACACTCGAAACCATGAATTGAAACTAAAAAAAACTTGAAATAAAAAAAATCTTATATTGCATTTTTTTAAAAATCAACATATAAATGTTATACTACATTTTAAAAACAATCAACACTTAAATGTTAATATTATTAATAATTTTAATTTTTTTTAAAAATAAAATTTCAATATATATATATATATTTGAGTTATTCGAGATCTTTTCGAGCCAAGAATCAAGTACTTTGTTTTGGCTCATTAAGAACTCGAGTCGAGTTCAAACTCGAATCGAGTTCAAACTCAAATCGAGTTCATTCGAGTAGAATATTTATCAAACTTTGATCGAACTGAGTTTGAATAGCTCACGATATATCTCGTTTCATTTGCGGTCCTAATTATAAGAAAATAGAAATTCAAACCATTCCTTTTTTATAAATACAACATATATGATATCCTAACGTGTCTATTCTATCTTTGTAAATAATTTATTTTCTCAAGGTTTAGGCACTAACCTTGTGGTGCTTGTGCTGTGGAGCATGGGAACATAATCTTAGAGTTCGCATCTGATGGCGTGGGATGATCAGGGATCTGTGTACCCCTGTTCTGTCTTGATTCAGTCGTATATATTTCATTCGCAGCTGCCACTTATTCCTTGGTAGGTAAGACAGCTGGACTCTAATTCTAGGGCGCAATGGTGCTTTCCATGTGTTAAGTTCACTCGTAAACTGATATCCATCCGGCAGAAAATCATGCAAACTTTATAACACAACGGTTGCCAAGATTTCGAAGCCATGAAAGGTGGCCTAAAACTTGAGTCAAGAATGGATTTAAAAAAAAATTAAAGGTGAACATAATATATATGAACAATATAAATTTTTTTTATATAAAATTGATATAAAATTAAAATTTTAAGGTAAATATAATCAATAAAATAAACAATTATTCAAAGAAAAATTAATTTTTAGAGTGAAAAAAATATAGATCCGCCACAGGCTGAGACGGATCTTTTATCATCAATGTTGCTTCCTCAGTTTGTATCGACAAAGGTTACCAAACTAGGATGTTGCTCGGATGAGGTAAACACTAAACCATGAATGTTCAGGATTCCTCTTAAATACCACCATGGTTTTTATAAAGTAAAATACCTCAATGCATGGTTTTCAGAACCGGACCGGTTAGCGAACCGGCCATGTTATCGGTTCACTTGTTCAACCGGTCGAATCGGTCCGACCGGTCGAAAGAACCGGACGACGTCATAATTATTTAAAAAATTAAATAAAATACCAAAAATATTTAATAAAAAATAATTTTTTATATCACAAGTCATATCAAAGCAAGTCATAACATATATAAATTAAAAACTATAAAATCAAGTGAAACAAAATGATTCAAATTAACTACAACATAATATTTAAGGTAAAACATATTAAATAATAAATATAATTATATGACTATAATTAAAAAATAAATTTGGGGCTAAAAAAATCATAACAAAATGATATTGTTTGGTTTATTTTTTTTTAAAACAATCCTACATGGCTAAGAAACATAGAAGAGCATCTCAAAAGTCTAAAGAGTAAAAGTATGAGAACAAAACAATCTCACATTGCTAAGAAACATAGAAGAACATCACAACTAACTTCTATAAATAATAGAGGTAATTTGGCATTCAAAATCATGGAGCCTTTTGGTGAGCATTGAGTGAACTATTCTTTCACTTCAATCAAGCTCGAATTTTAAGCTTCAATTGAGCTTCTAATTTTTTTTTAGTTCAAGCCTTTTTGAGTTCAAGTTTTAATATTATATTTCGAGTTCGAGTTGAACTTGATAATTTTTAACTTGTGAGTTTGAGTGGAGTTGAGCTTACTTTTAAAGTTTTCAAGTTCGAGTCGAGCTCAACAATACTCGAGTTCGACTTGGCTCGTTTAACAAACGACTTTTGGTTTAATTTTTTTTTTTAAAAAAACAAAATTTCCGGTTTTTTCCGGTTTTCAGCCGGTCTGGTTTAAACGGTTCAGCGGTTCTGGCCGGTTCACTAGTAGCGGTTCAACCGGTTTAGATTGAACCATATTAGACAACAGTTCCCGATTGAACCGGCCGGTCCGGTTCGGTTTTCAAAACAGAGCCTCAATGTTCTTTTTAACAGAACAGTATGAGTTTCACACGAAGCATACGTGAATTCTACTACCTTTTCACACCAAAACCAATGTTCGATCTAGTGTGGCAAATATACAACAACGCACCCATAATGCTACAATATTCTCCAGCATCTAGAAATTGAAATCCATCAGCTTTAAAGATGCAACTGTTGGTGTAGGCATAAGTTTGGCTGGATCCATTTGCAATCACCGCAACATGTTATGTCCACAATCGTGTTAAACATAATGCAATAAAAAATATGATTGCAACCACAATATAAATCCCTGATAAAGGCTGAAGACTAAAATATCTTCATATTTCTTCACTTAATTGTCGAGAAAATGATTCAGTTCTCCTTCAAAGAGAATTTTGAATTTAACAAGGTTACAACCTTTGTTATCTCTTCATCTAAATCATTTGTTATTATATTAGAGACGGAAATTTGTTACTATATTACAAGGACGGATGCACTAAGCTCCTATAGGGGTCTAGTGCATTCTTATTATTTTGAAAAAATAGTTTAGTTTAAGGTGTCAAGGAAAAAAGAAAAAAAATTACGAACTTATTATTTTTAAAAACTTTTTAAAAAATTTTAGGTATTCGTTTCTAAATTTTTAGATCTACATCTAAATATACAAGCAGGTAACTTCGTAGACCATTATTGTTTCTTACAAACAGTGAAGTATGAGCTTTTTAAACCGGTCTCTTTCAAGTATTCTTTAAGCTTCGAATACTAGTTTCTGAGAGCACGTCTCAACCTAGATAAGAGTTTCTCTAACTTGCACACCAACTTTGAATTATCTCACACATAATATAACAAGCTTCTAAACGCACTCATTAAATTTCTAAATTTTTAAATAATTATCTACACAATATAATAAGCTAACTTATACAAACATACTCATATTGTTTCTAAATTTTGAAATTCATATTCTTATAACTTTTCGTTTAAGGAATGCTTAAAAATTAAAAACATAAAAGTTACTATTATATTTTAATTAAAAATATAATCAATAAATAGTAGTAGATTCATACTAATAAATGATAATTAGATACTTTTTTATGAAAATGCTAAATTTTTTAATTTTTTTATAATTTATTCATTTTATAATTTTTTATTTTTTAAATTTTTGACAGAGTTATTAGTATTTTTCATATTTTCATATTTTAAATTTTTATATTTAAATATATTTTTAATTTTTTCTTAAACTTTAAATAAACCTTCCAACTTTATAAAAAGTCACTTAAACCTTTGAAATGTCTCAAAGAATCAATTAAGTTCATATGTTACATCATTATTCAATGTAAATTATTATTTCATATCGTAGATCATCACATCAATATCATGAATCGTCATGTTAACATTATGAAAGTATGAATCATCACATTAACACTATAAGCCACCATATCATTAAGAATATCTTAACGATCAACAAGTTAATCAAAATGATAATATTTTTTCAATTCAAAAATTACATTAGTTTTTTTCTTTCTTTATTATTCCCTCTCAAGCAAGTCACAGCAAAGATATAATGCAAACAAAAAGGTGAAGAATGATACTCGAGACAATCCAAGACGCCAAAGCAAAGCACCTAGCCTAGTAAAGCAACAACACACGTGTAACCTAACTATTCTTATATAAGAACAAAAATAACAAATATAGTCTCCCCTGCAACAAATCATAACAATCCAAACTTGTCAAACTTGAACACAGTCATCCATGGGACTCTGCCAGTCTCTCGAATTCTGCTTGAAAAGAACCCGCTCTTATGACATCCCAATCGCTTCCTCAACCGAGTCTTCTCCTCCATTGCCCAAAACTCCATCATCCCACATTGGGACCATTTTTCAGAAACCATACGTCGATGTCACCACCGATTACGATCTCGACAAAGAGTTGGGGAGAGGTCAATTTGGCATCACTTATCTCTGCACCGAGAAGGCGACGGGTCGAAAATACGCCTGCAAGTCTATTTCGACTAGTAAACTAACCACTGAAAAGGACAGGGCGGATGTTAGACGAGAGGTTTCGATACTGCAGCACCTGACGGGCCAACCAAATATCGTGGAATTTAAAGGTGCTTACGAAGATAGGAAGAATGTGCATTTGGTGATGGAACTGTGTTCGGGTGGGGAGCTTTTCGATCGGATCATAGCTAAAGGGAGTTATTCGGAACGTCAAGCGGCTTGTGTTTTCAGGCAGATTGTGAATGTGGTGCATGCATGTCATTTTATGGGGGTTATGCATAGGGACTTGAAGCCTGAAAATTTCTTGCTGGTTAGCAAGGATGAGAATTCTCCCATAAAGGCCACGGATTTCGGACTCTCTGTCTTCATTGAGGAAGGTTAGTTCTATTTCTGTTCCGATCATGCTCTAGGGAGATGGATAACTTTGCTTCTTATTCAGTTTAATACAAGCAAAAAAAGTTGACTGCTTATTTACCCCCGTCCGCAAGATGATATATCATGATCAGAAAATACTGTTGCATAAATATCAAATGATATGACATGATCGTAAAACATTATATAATATGATAACAAAATATAACATGGTTTTTTTATAAAAAAAAATGAATAAGAGAATGTTAAAAAAATCTCTAAAAAATTTAACCATCAATAAGTTTTTAAAAATTTATAAAATATTATTAAATGATAAAAATATAAAGAGATAGTTACACAAAATGTCCCCAAACTATAAATCTCATCTAAATTAGCCATAAACTTTAAAATATTCTATAACAATTCTTAAACTATGATCCCATTCTAAATTTATCCATAACCTTTAAACCATTCTATATCAGTTATCAAACTATCAATATCATTCCATTTTGATCATTCTATTCATTTCACTGACAAAAAATTAATCTATTTTTTAAGGTCATGAGAATTTAAAATGTGACCTTCTAAAATTTATGGGGACCTTCAAAAATATTTTTTTCCAGAAAGTAATGAATTTAATTTTTAGGATCTTCAAACTAGATTAAATTTTTTAGGTCAGGGGTTCAACTTCCATGACCTTTAAAAACTAATAGAATTAACATATTAACAAAAAAATAAAAATGGAATGATATTGATAATCTAAGGACTAGTATATAATATTCTAAAATTTAGAAACCAATTTAGAATGAGATCGTAATTTAGGGACCTCTTGTACAATTAACTCAAAAATAAATTTAAAAATATATAATTCATAAAATTTTAATTTTTAATTTTTTAAATAATAAAAAATAGATTTTCTGAAATTTCTAATATTTTTATTTATAGATTTTCAACAAAATAAAAGATATTTTATCATGTGGGACATTTTTATTAGGCCATGTTATCTAAAGGGTTAACAGTAATTACAATTTCATATATATATATATATATATATAGCCAAAAGAAGGGGAAAAAAAGAATTAGACTGGAAGCGGTCAATCAAGAAAATGTTACTTTTTGTGAGCAGCAACTTCATATACGGTTCATCAAAAAAAAAAAAAAAAAACTTCATCTACTGGTGGGTAAGAAAAACGATGGGACCATAACAGAAAATGTTAACATGAAATGAAGAACGTGAGTAGAGGTGGGTACAGAGGTGGGTATATGGGATAAGGCCTGCGGGCTACGAGTTTAATCCACGGTTCGTGCGAGTTTTATACATAAAAAACTGAAGTTCGTTTAAATTGTGGGCTTTTTAGCCCGGACCGTTAAACCCGAGGGTTTAATGGGTATAACCGCGGGTAGCCTGCGAAACCCGCAATGACCCACTTAATTTAAAATTTATAAAATTTTAGAGAAAATAAACTTAAAGAATTTTATAGAAAAAGAAAATAAATTACTTATAAATATGAGGTTACTTGTAACCATTGTAGTTTTTACATTTATTAGGGCATTTGTCATAATTCTCTCGTTGCTTAATATTTTTTTTTCATTTACAATGTATCAAATTATTCTTCATTTTAAAAAATAAAAGTTAAAAGATTTATATAGTATTTTAGTCTTATAAAATTTACATCATTATCACTTTGGTATTTAAAGATTTTTTAATTTAATTTTGACCTTTATTTTTTTCATGAAATATGTTATTCATTTCGTTCTTTAATTATAAAAAGTCACGTGATATTCTAATAATATATCACATGACACGTAGTATTTAGATTAAAAATAAGAAAGAAAAGTAAAAGAAAAAATTGAAAACATAATTTTCAACTTTTAAAGGCTTTTACAAAAGAAAAATTGTTAGATTTGTATAATGTTTGACTTTGTTGAATTTTTCTGTTTGAATTTCTGCTTGCAGACACTTCTGTGTCTTCATATTATAACCTTGAATAATCGAATTTTATAAAAGTATAATGTGGTTATTGTTTTATTTGTTTTTCAATTTGGTGATATAAGTTAATATTATTATTTTTTAATTTGAGTTTAAGTAATTATATCGTTATATATATATATATTAATGATTAAAAAATTAAAAAAATATTATTTTATAATCATTTTCGGCTATTTAAAATAAAATTTAAATATTATTTATTATTTTGACGATGCTACCTTCCTTTTCAAGTTACTAGATCATTTTTAAAGGTGTAGCAAGTTAGAACATTATTTTTTATTGCATTTAAAACATTTAAAATTATTTTTATTTAACGGGTCGCGAGCAAGCCTGTTTAACCCGCGGGTTAAACGGACGGACCGCGGGTCTTAAAATTCAAAACCGTTTATGATTACGAATTTTTTAAACCGTTCCGTTTAAGCTTGCACCATCAAAACCCACGTACTAAACGGGCAGATAACCCGTATACCTACCTCTAAACGTGAGCATAGTGATTGATGACTAACCCTCTTATATATACGTCCAAAAGACAAGATGTTAATGAATGAAAGTAGTGATCAATCACTAGTCCACCGGGAAATTAGGATTATAGAGTAGGATTTACGCCTTCAATTTCCAAATTTATTTCAGGCAGAATGTATAGGGACCTTGTTGGGAGTGCTTATTACGTTGCACCAGAGGTTTTAAACCGGAGATATGGCAAGGAGATTGACGTGTGGAGCGCTGGTGTCATTTTATACATTCTTCTTAGCGGAGTGCCTCCATTTTACGGAGGTATGTACCTGGAAATTGAGGACAAATATTATGTACATAGCTATAAAGATTTAGATGATTCTTCATAAAAGTCCCGACACCTCTTGAATGTGCAGAGACTGAGAAAGAAATCTTCAAAGCAGTTTTAGAAGGTAATCTTGACTTAAAAAGCCAACCATGGTCATCTATATCTGAAGGCGCAAAGGACCTCATCAGGAAGATGCTAGCCAGGGACCCTAAGCAACGGATTACAGCTGCTGAAGCCCTAGGTAAAAGATTCAGTTTCTGGAGATCTTATTAGACACAGCCCTTCAAGTTGAAAAGGGAAGATTTCAAATGTTTCCATTTTGTGTATTTAAACCAGAACATCCGTGGATGAAAGAGGGCGGGGATGCATCCGACAAACCAATCGATAGTGCTGTTCTTAGTAGGTTGAAGCAGTTCAGAGTAATGAACAAGCTCAAGAAACTTGCCTTAAAGGTATGACCTATGCCTCTGGTTTTTCATGTTAGACAATTTTAGTCGTCCACAAAAGCACAAAATTTCTTTTATCTTCCCAACAGCTAATATCTTCATCTGTAAATTTGATTTCTGGAAGGTGATAGCTGAAAACCTATCATCAGAAGAAGAGATCAAGGGCTTGAAACAGATGTTCAAAAACATCGACACTGATGAAAGTGGTACAATAACACTAGAAGAACTCAGAAATGGATTAGCTCGATTGGGATCAAAGTTAACTGAACCAGAAATAAAGCAGCTTATGGACGCTGTAAGATTCTATCCCGATAATATAAAATATATAGAAATCATTTACATAATAATAAAACAAACAAGCTGCAACTTCTGAATGCCTAAACCTTGTCCTGTTAGGCTGATGTGGACAACAGTGGAACCATTGATTACCTAGAATTCATAACTGCAACAATGCATCGACATAGGCTTGAGAGGGAAGAAAACATAGTCGAGGCTTTTAAGTTCTTTGACAAGGATAACAGTGGGTTAGTATATTGCACTACTGCCTAGTCAGTTTTGAACATTATTGATTCATTGACTAACTGATGTTTTCTTTCAGTATATCACAAGAGATGAACTAAGACAAGCTATGACGCAGTATGGAATGGGAGACGAGGCTACCATAGATGAAGTCATTGAGGATGTTGATACTGATAAGGTTTTAGTTTCTCTGCTTTTTATTTAAACAAAACAAGTTGTCTATCTTTCTGCTGGTTTCATTGGTTCAGATCATTTTGATGGACAGGATGGGAGGATCAATTATGAGGAATTCGTAGCCATGATGAAAAGAGGAACTCAAGACAGATGAACAACTAACTCGAAAGGGGCTTTCTTTAGTTGCAAGCTAAACAATATTTCCCATCTGCGGTTGTGATTTGTGAATAAACTCATTGTTCAATGCTGATACTAAACGCTTCAATTCTGGATATGGAGGCCCAAATTCATATGAATAATACATAATCGAGCAAGGCTAATGCATACAATGATTCATTATAAAACCAAGACACAACATTTAACTTACAATATATTATATTATATATATTTGCTTTAAAGTATAATCAAAATCTGACAATGAATCAATCGTTACCGTCCATCTCCACTCTCCTTCTGAATGTGCAGTCTCTGCTTCTCGGCTAGCTTCTCCAAGGCAGATTCAACCGCATCTCGCCCACAGATAAGCAATCGGGTAAAAACTTCCGGATCCTTCTCGAACCGAGCTTCTTCGAACTCTTTCCTAGCGTTATCTCTCAATATGTCCCTCCAGAGAACGCCCCGCGAATCGGTCCACATGAAGAGTCGGGAGGCTCGAAGTATGTCGCGGTAAAGAGCCAGCGCCTCTCGTTGAGTACTGGAGAGACGCTGTCGATTCAGCAACTCTTCTTCCTCGTCATCTAGGGATTTCTCCTTCTTAACCCCGTGTCTGTCGAGAAGCTCTTCTACGTTGTCCGGACCTTCATGTAAAAATCGTTCGATGAAGACGACGTTGCTTCTACAAAAGAACTTCGAATGGATGGTTAAACTTGGACATCTTCGCAGGTAACCGATCATCCTTTAATTTTATGTTATTTGTCTCAGAAGCTTATTTTTCCGAGCGGTTTGACCAAAAATGGTGGAGTTGATTCACAGAGAAGACGAACAAAACGGCCTATTCTAAATTTGTTTCAGCCTTCAGGCATATCCTAAATTTGGGCCTCAATCCATTTATTATTTTATAGCGTATAGGCAAACAATTAAACATTTATCTCGTTTATGGCCCGGTGGCAACTATGGCTGATCATGCCCAATGAGTCTTACGAGTACTATTTGTTTCTATTGGTGCACTACAATGAAGTGTTGAGGATTTGGATTGAGTCTCTTTTGATGGTGTGAATCTTTTTGAATTTTAGGTAAAATTGTTTAAATAATGATTTGGAAAAAGAATTTTTTTTATTGGATGTAAAAAATTATTTTCATATTTAGAGTGAGCACAATACCCCATAGAAGATGTCTAAGTGTCTAACAGATACGTCGACTTTTATAAAACACTTATAAGACACGACGATTTAATGTCTTTTGAAAAGATGCATTTTGTAGGCATGCATGGAGCGTGAAGAAGTCATTAGATCTTCTAGACGCATTCTAGAAATCATCAAATCTTTTAAACGTCTTTCATAAAAGATTGTAACATTCACCCTAAATAAAAAATAATTTTCCTACTACGTTATATGATTTTTTTTTTAAAAAAAGCATTATATAATCATTTTTAATTGAATTTTGAGAAAGGGTTTTTTACTTGCAAAAGTATGCTTCCAAAAATAAATAATTTTATTCAGATTATCTACTAAAAAATAAATTAGTTCTCATATCGTAATATGACCCTTTAAGTCACATTTATAAAGCATAATAGATGTATACATTCGACCCTCACTTTTCCTAAAGAAAAAAAAAAATTATTATTATTAAAAATAAAACATTAGGTTACAAAAAGAGACTTGCCCACACCATCGATAGAGACTATAAGTCAACTTTCGATGGTGTGCTTTAGACACATACCTTTAACTGTAGTTCAACCCAACAATATATCTGTCCACCCTTCCGTATATATATAAACTGTTTAAAAGAAATACTACTATTATATATGGTAATATTTGAAAAGAGGATAATCGGTAAAAGTATTATTTGAAATGAGGATAATCGGGTAAAAAAAATATCATCATTGTGGCAAGTGAGCATTTATCGATACAAGTATAGTAGACAATAATAAGCTTTCGGATATCGATCCCACGAGGAAAGGAAGACTAATATTTATATTTGTCAGAGTAAAAAAAGTTGTAAAATAAAGAAAATCGTGAGATATAAATGTGAATGGAAATTAACTGTAAAATAAAACTAATTGCTAGTTATGATATCGAAGCAAATAACTCAAAATAATAAAATACTAAAATGGATCGTAATAGAGTTAAATAATTGTTGGTGCAACTTCAGCCATGATAAATGTGTTAACAAGAATGAAGTGTAATGATTTTTGGTGCATTAAAGAGCATGCATATTTCACAAAACTAAATTCTCATGTTTAACCAATGAACTACACTAGAATTATAAACTATACCTACCGGTGACAATAATAACACTAATACAGAGATAAGAAATCCAACTTCTATTGAAACTAATGTGACTTCCGTTGACGAAAGTTGATCAATCTGAATTGTCATTGCACCATCTAGTGACAGAGACCGCAACAAAAACTTTTGTGCATAAATATTCAAACCCAAAGATTAAACATAAAACAAGTGACATGTGTCATTTTCGCGCCAAAATAGATTTAAGGTGATAAAAGAGAAGGGTCGATCAAATAGGAACTAAGGAAACTTCGAGATTTATACTTGTTTAATCTCTGAGCCAAGAAGTGAGTTGAATAAATATTTAAGGCGAGGATTTGTGGATGAAAAGAGTTAAATAAAATAAAAGTAAGAAAATAAGATATTATAAATAGATTAAAAAGAAATAGATTCAATATGATATAAGTCATACTTAGGCTTTTGCTTTGACTCAGTTTCCTCAGATTATCAAAAAAGGTTTTTAACTCCGGGATTCACTTTGGTTACTTGTCTACAAGAACCAATCCTTGTGACTATGATTTGTATACCGAATACCCAAGTGAAACCTTTGATATCGATTTTGGAAAATTGACCTAATCAACAATAATGTTGTAGATAAACAAATGTTTAAGTTCGTAAAAGACCGACTCAGATTATGTTGTTTTTCGATGTCAGTTCCCTTAGCAAACAATTTTGACCATAACAACATCCTGACCAACGTCAATGTTTGGTTTTGAAATCATTTTGATTTTGAAAATAAACTCAAAGAAACTAAGAAAGATATATGAAGTTGTTTAAGTGTTTTTCAATTCTCACGTTGGAATCGATTCATCGCTTTAGCCATCGGCTTGAAAGAAAATTAAGTAAGCATGAAAAAAGTCACACTTAACATTAAAAATAAAACTTTAATGAAAAATAAAGAAAAAGAGCGAAAGTAAAAAATAAATAACTTTATAAAACTAAGGAAGAAACAAAAGGATTCAAGAGATGAGAGATGGTTGATGATTGATTTCAGGCTTATCCCGATGGGGTATTTATAGCGTCTGAAAAACTATAAAATTACATTAAAAATCCTAAAAGATAATTCTTGAAATTAAATCCTAAAAATAAAGATAAATCCAAAAGTTTTAATTTGCGGCTGAGTATTTTGCTTCCACCAAAATGTTGACTAGACCTTTTAGAAGATGTTGACTGGATTCCACGTTAACGCTTTCATGCCCAGTTTCATGCCCAATAGGTCGTCCATGATTCTGGAAAAATAAAAAAATGCACAACTTCGTCTTTTAAGCACATTTTCCAGAAGTCATTGTTCTGCACAAAAATAATGTAAAAATGCCAAATTAGCAATAATAATAGAAAATGAAGGAGTATTTAAACACAAAATATAACACTAGTTAAATTTCCCCCCACTTATTCAATGCTTGTCCTCAAGCATTTCTCAATCAACATGATAAATCATAAGTTGTCATTCTCCAATTTACATCATACTCTAATCATCCCAAGAACCAAAATCAAACAATTATTTGAAACTAGAAAACAATCAAGCAAGTAGAAAAGTTAGGAAATAAGTTTACGCAAAACAAAACATTCCAATAACTCACTACTCTCATGATGCAAAACTCAATACCCTCACAAAAGATTCATTCATTCCGCTCAAAGTATTTAAGGAAAGAGAAACGATCGAGCCAAAACAAGTTAAAGCATTACCATAAGCTTATAAATAAATCCAATCTTCACTACTTAAAAATGAATATGATGCAAAAGTCAAGAGGTCTTTAAACCTAGTTGTAACGTGGCTAAGGTATGAGTTGGATAAAGGCAAAAAATCGAGTTTAAGTTTCAGAATAAAAAGAAGATCATTCCAAAATTTATTCTAAAGGAAGCAAGCGAATAGAAACAACAAACTCTATTTTTTCCTTCTATTTTTTCTTTCGTACTTTTTTTTTTTTTTTTGAACAGCTTATTCAAATATTTTTTCTCTATTGCAATGTATTTTTTTTCCTGCACATTACAAACCAAAACTGGATTTTCTTTATTGTTCAAATCTGTATAGTATTTTTATGCACTGTTCGAACCAAACTGCACTTTTCGAACAATGATTTCTGCTTTTTTTTTTTAACACTGCTTCTCCTTTTTTTTATATTTTTTTTCTGAAGGAACAACCTTACCTTTACTTGAAAATTGGTGACAAGGGAGGGTAAAAATAAAAAAGGTTTCAACTTATTAAAGTGGTAAAACAAAGAAAGGTTATAAGGCTTAAAATTGGCTTTCTAAGGGAAAACAATAAACAAAGGCAGGTTGTTCATTTTTGGGAAGAGAAAATGTTTAATCTTGATGCCTCTTTCATACTAAAAACATCAAAATCATACATGTAGTCCCGACAAACATTACATCACAAGTTCCAGAATGCTAAAACTAGTTTGGCACACAAAAAGAAACAAAGAGAAAGATTGAAAAGGGTATGCTCATTAGGCTCAAGGCTAACAAGAATAAACTCAATGTATCAAGTCTAGTATCAATTCAACCAATAAACCATGGGATGTCAAAACTTTTATGAAAAATTCACTAGTTGTGCCAACTAATCATCATGCATCCAATGTTCAATTCAAAACAAGATAAAAAATTCATCGAAAAAATTAAAACAATCAAGTAAACTAAAGAATAGGTAACAAACAATTCCAACATATTAAAATAAAAATAACTCAAGTTCAAACACCCAACAAGTACGGTGAAATTCAACATGTTATCCTCCCCCTCACATAATCCATTTTGTCTCAAAATGTAATTCAAATTTAAAGAAAAAAAGAGGGAAAATGAATACTCTCTGATCTAGAGATGGTCGTGGCCTTGGCCGCATCGAGATGAGCCTGGGAGAAGGTAGGAAAGAATCTCCACGAGGTTTGTTTCGATGGAATCCAAGTGGCCATGCACTTCGTGAATTTTCTTGTGCACGTTCGATTGTGGGTGCTCTTCTAGTGTTGCGGTTTGTGGAGCCCTCTGAACATATCGCACGAGGTAATCGTTCCGGGAGGAACTATATACGGTGCATCGGGAGTGTCGGTGAGAAGTCCCAACGTATCCAAACACCTTGCATCCAAAGGGTCCATTGCAAAAGCATATGTAAATTGGTTAGTATCAAACGTCAATGGAAATGATTGAGATACCAAGTAAGTAATATAAGGGTTGAGAATGAGTGGGCAATCGGTTCACACAATGCGCTCGAAGGCGGGCCAACCAAAAGTCCAAGTTTACCTTCACACTAGTTTGCATACACTATAGGAAAAATAATTCAACCTTACTCTGTGAGGATGTAGTGTCGTTATGTCTAGAATAGTTGTATGCTAGGAATTGGTATATGTAGCGGAGCAGATCGTGAATGTGCCACCTTTGGTTGTGCGAGAATCAAAAGTAGCACTCGCCAAGTCGTAAGTGCTTCATATGTTATGTCTGTGTCAAAGTCCTACGGAATCTTATGTAAAGAAATTATAAAATCATGGTTCCGTGACATCAATGTTGTCCAAGTAATCTAAAAGAAATCACACCTGGTGTATTGACAAGCGTCGTTTTACTAATCAAAATAAAATAAATCATCTTCACAAAATAAAATAAATAAAATTAAGTATAGTATAGTGAAAGAGGATTCATCCACATGGACTTAGAAATTCCTGATGTAGTGTTGTGTTGATCTTATTCCAAGCGACTAAAACAAAATAGTAAAATAAAAATGAGGATTTTTTATTGTGAGAAAAAGAAGGCAAAGAAAATAAAGATTAAAATCAAATTAAAAGAAATGGAAATGTAAATAAATTTGAAAAAAATAATGATGAAATCGCCTTAAGCTATCCTTGTTTCAATTTTGTCCGATCATCGAAATGGATTTTTTCTCTAAGATTCATATCGGTTACAGTTTTCAAAGCCCAACCTATTGTAACTTGTCTTTCTCTCTCGTAATCGATCTTTCCAAGTCACTCTTAAAAAGCCAATTCTTGAATGGACTAACCACAACTATTGTCATTTGAACAAAGAAATTAAGTTTTGGAAAAGACCGACTCGGATTATGTTGTCTCATCGAGAATCAAATCTGATCTCGATTTTCCTTAGCAGAACGCCACTAAATGTGTTCATAGGAAGTCAAATAGGTCACAGGTCGATCATTCCTCCCAAATATAAATTAAAACAACATTCAGATCAACGTGGACTTTTTGAAATGAAAGCGTTTTAATTTTTAAAGTAAGACCAACTACCAAACTAATTAAATAGAAAATCGAGAATGTAACTGTTAGGTATGGCTCATAAATATACCGGGAAAGTCTCGTAGTGGGGGTTACGATTATGTGGGTTGGGGGTGTAGGCCCTACGGTATGGTACAGGGTTATTTTTGTAAATATGTACCATGATTTATTTATTATAAAAAGAGATGTAACCTAAACCTATGAGACATTGAATTGAATAAATATTCTAGTGCCGCCTAAGGCACCGAGGACGTAAGCACATTGCTGAACCTCGTTAAAATTCTTGTGTTTTTTATATTTTCTTTACCCGATTATTCAACAATTGGTATCAGATGTCAAAAGCCAAATTCGAAGTTACGAAATTCGATGGTCAGGGTAACTTCGAATTATGGTAAACAAGGGTAAAGGATCTGTTGGCACAGCAAGGGATCCTGAAGGCTTTGTGACCTATAAAACTGGCGTCGATAGAGGAAGAAGATTGGGAAGAATTGCAGTAGCAAGCGGCAGGAACCATACAATTATGTTTGGCGGACGAGGTCATGTATCACGTCATGCATCTGTCATCTCCAGATAAAATTTGGAAGAAGTTGAAAAGTCAGTTTATGTCCAAATCCTTAACGACTAAACTGTATCTAAATCAGCGGCTGTATGGGCTGAAGATACATGATGATCATTATTTGGCGTAACACGTGAATGTCTTCAATCAAATCGTTTCTGATTTGGCTCGGCTTGATGTGAAAATTAAGTGTTTACGGTATGATAATGGTACGGAGTACACAGATTCAGAGTTTCTAAACTTTTGTAAGGAGCATAGGATTAAGAGGCATTTTACAGTGCGCAAGACACCACAACAGAATGTTGTTGTAGAACGGATGAACAGGTCGTTGAATGAAAGAGCCAGACTTGATGTGAAATCGAAGGAATGCATTTTTCTGGGTTACAAGACAGGTGTCAAAGGATACAAGTTCTGGGATCCAGTTGCGAAGAAAATTGTGATCAGTAGAGATGTTTATGATGAACAACTCATGTTGCAGCAGAAGAAAGACACGACAGTGGTGGATTTTGAGCAGTTTCTAGTTGAGAAAACATAAACTTCTCAACCTACTTCTGGTGGTTCCGCTACGGTTGATTTGCAGGATTATAGTCTCGCCAAAGACAGGGTGAAACGGACGAATATAAAACCTCCGAACATATTGGGTTTGAAAGACTTGGTCTCTTTTGCACTTACTGTTAGTAATGATGATCCGATTAGTTTTCATGATGTTGTTACTAGTCAGGAAAACAACAATTGGATGGCTACCATGGTTAAGGAGATGGAGTCTTTGAATCACAATCGTACATGAGAGTTAGTTCCCCTTCTTGTGGGTAAGAAGCCTATTGGTTGTAAATGAGTGTATAAGAAGAAACCAACAGTAACAGAAAAAGAGGGGAGAAGTTAAAGGCTCGTTTGGTAGCAAAGGGTTTTTCACAGCAGAAAGGAGTTGATTATGATAAAAGTTTTTTCCTGTGGTCAGGCACACTTCAATCTGCAGTACTTGCATTGTGGCTAGTTGGGATTTGCATTTAGAGCAGATGGATGTTAAAACTGCTTTTTTGCATGCTGATTTAGAGGGGCAGATCTACATGCAGCAGCCTATAGGTTTCACTCAACCTGGAAACGAGCATTTAGTTTAGATTGAAGAAATATTGTACGGGTTGAAACAGTCTCCGAGACAACGGTACAAATAGTTTTACTCATATATGATCAAGATTGGCTACAAGCGATGTGAGTATGATTGTTGTGTCTATGTTAAGAGCCTTGATGATGGTTTTTATTTTTGTGTTACTGTATGCTGATGGTATGTTAATTGTTACGAAGAACATGGATGATGTTATCGTTTTGAAAACTTTATTGAGTCAGGAATTTGATATGAAAGATTTAGGTGCTGCAAAGAAAATTCTTGGAATGGAAATTTGCAGGGACAGAGACTCAAGGAAACTGTGCTTATCTCAACAGGGTTATGTTGAGAAAATGTTAGAAAGGTTTACGATGAGCAGCGCAAAACCAATGAGCACTCCATTGGCGAATCACTTTAAGCTCTCATCAGAACAGTTCCCTAAGACAGATAAAGAAGCTGAAGATATGGCAAAGGTTCCTTATTCTAATGCTGTTGGCTGCTTGATGTATGCAATGGTATGTACTCGTCCTGATTTAGCTCATGATATTAGTCAAGTTTGTAAGTACATGTCTAAACCTGGTAAGCAACATTGGGAAGCAGTCAAGTGGATCTTTAGGTACTTAAAGGGTACTGTGGTACATGGAATTGTTTTTGGTAGTCAGCGGGATAATTTGGTTGTAGGATATGCGGATTCAGACTATGCTGGTGACTTGGATAATAGAAGATCTACGACAGGGTATGTCTTTACTCTTGTGAGGGCCTATTTGTTGGAAGTCTACTGTTCAATCTATTGTGGCATTATCTACAACTGAAGCTGAATACATGGCAGCAACTGAAGCTGCAAAAGAAGCTTTATGGCTTACTGGTTTAGTGAAGGAGTTGGGTGTTCAGCAAGGTGGAGTTCACTTGCATTATGACAATCAAAGTACTATTCATTTGGCTAAGAATCAGGTATATCATGCTAGAACTAAGCATATTAATGTAAGGTTTCACAAGATCAAGAGCTGGTTGCATCTGGAGAGATTTTGTTTCAGAAGGTACATACTGATGAGAATGTCGCTAATATGTTCACCAAGCCAGTTACGACAGACAAATTCATGCATTGCTTGGACTTGTTGAGTGTTTTGAGTTGTAAAAGAAGTAAGGTAACCCAACCCACATTGAATGTTTCCTAAGGGGCAATATATTCGCCAAGGTGGAGATTTGTTAGATATGGCTCATAAATATACCGAGAAAGTCTCGTAGTGGGGTTACGATTATGTAGGTTGGGAGTGCGGGGGCATAAGCCCCGCGGTATGGTACATGTTTATTTTTGTAAATTACCAGTGTTTATTTATTATAGAAAGAGATGTAACCTAAACCTATGAGACATTGAATTGAAAAATTCTAGCGCCGCCTAAGGCACCGAGGACGTAAGCACTTTGCTGAACCTCGTTAAAATTCTTGTGTTCTTTCTATTTTCATTACCCGATTATCAACAGTAACCCAAAGGTATTTTAGTGTTTTTCAATTCTCACATAGGATCGAGTCATCGCTAACTCTCGGCTAATAAAAAATTAGTTAAGCATGGTGGAAACCATAATTAGCATATTTTAAGAAATAAAAGGCGCAAAGTAAAAAAAGTGAAATTGAAAAGAAAAAGAACTTTGATTAAAATGTAAAGAAAACAAAGTAAATTCGATATAAAATATATTCTTAAGCCTTACCGTAAGAAGGGTATTTATAGGATTCTAAACCCTAAAAATAAAAGAAATTTAAAATTAAAATAATCCTAAATTTCCAAAGATAATTCAATCGTTCCAAATTCAAATTTAAAAACTAAGTTCCTAAAACATCTCTCCATATCGTGCTGACTAGGTTTCTTCCAAACCTTCATCCTTCTAGAAAACTGCCACGTTAGATCCGCGTCGTGCCTAGTGTCGTACCCATTTCTCCAACTCTGACCAGAAAATAATAAAATGTGCAGATTGCACCATTTTCTACCAATTCTAGTAAACAAGTCAATGTAATAAAATAAATGAAATACAATCCAAATCAACAGTGATAAATTCATAGAATAGAAGAAGCAAGTAAAAAGCAACAATTAAAAACGCTAATCGAATTCCCCCTCACTTGCCTCATGCCCATCCTCAAGCATGCTTTGATCAAACTAGTTAAGAACTTAATTTACTTTCCTTCATTTTGTTTCATATCGAAGCAAATTATGAAAGACAAGCTCATAATAATCATTTGAATCAAAACTCCAATCAAGTGAATGAACACAAATAAGATTAAGTATAACAGATTGCAACTTCCAATCATTCATCAATAAAAAAATTCAACCTAACTAAATTCCTCACAAGGATTCACTCAATCCTCTCAAATGTGTTTTTGGTGCAAATACACTCAAAGTCGGAACTAAACTAGAATTTCCATAGGCTTATAACAAATCAAATCTCCACTACGTAAAATAAATAAAATGGAAAGATCATTGGGTCTTTTAAAAAGGGTGTAACGAGGCTTAGGTAAAGGTAGAGAAAAGGCTATAAATAAGGTTTGTAATCGAGACAAAGAATTTTTTTTCCAGATAGTTCAACCATATCCACGAACAAAGAAAGATAAATAAAGCAATCAAATATTTACATCAAAGACATTAAACAACCATTTTTATTCTCTTTTTTCTTTTCTTTTTTCTTTTCTTTTTTTGATTTTTAGGCTTTTTCTATTTATTTCAAATGCTGTTGTTTTTATTATTCTTTTTTCATGGAACATGGTTACTCATAAGCTTCAATTATTTGTCTCTAAAATGGTGAAAGAGAGTGAAAAAAAGGATTGGGTTTAGGATTAAGGTGAAATCAAAGAAGTGGAAAAATGCTCAAAATGGTTCACTAATGGAGAGGAAAAGATAGGCTTTTTTTGGGTTTAAAATGGTGTGAATTCTAATGCCCAAATCATATCAAAGCACAAAATTTCTTGTGTAGTCTCAAAATGTATTATGCCACAAGTTCTGGATTTCCAAGATTTAGTCAAACAAGAAAAATAGCATAAAAATTATGTAACATGCTCAAGACTCAAAATCTCACAAAAGTGTGTTCATCAATCAGGTTAGACGAAATTCAATTAACAAAATCAAGGAATGACACAATGAAATAAAATTGAATTCCTGCTCAAGCAATTCAACTATCAAGAGTGTTAACATCATGCATTTGTTCTTGCATATTCGGAGGAGACGTCATTGGATATCTAGGAGGCGTATTTTGGTGAGTGAAGACTTGTTTGGTACACGACGTCATCACTCCTGGAAGAATAAGATAAGGTGTGATGGCGGTTCCGGCAAGCAAACCCATTGAATCCAAGCATCGTTCATCTAATCCATCCATAGAAAACGTTAAGTAAAGTCCATAATACCGAAATTAGCAACACAAGAGGCTAAATTTGTAATATAAGAACCAATGATTTAAGGGCGATTAGATTGAATAACGATCTCGAATGCTCAGGCAAACCAGAAGCCCAATTTACCTTCCTACCTATGAACATACACCAAGGAAGAAAAGTTTATTCTTACTTAAAATGCCGGAAGAATCATTCTGACCCGAATAGTTTTAAGCCAAAAACAGATGTATGTATCGTAATGTTGCGTCGTGAAGGTGAATTACCTTAGTCGAGCATGGGTTGAAGGGTTAGTCACCGAAACGGTAAGCAAAGAATAAACGAATCCATGTCAAATTCCTGCGGCATCTCTACCAAGGCAGTTAAATAATCTAGATTCGTGACATTCATCATGAATCCCATAACAAGATTAAAATCCGAAATAGACAGATTAAACTGCTGGCCACATAAACAGAATGAAACAACATTAGGATATTCAACAGCGACAAATCGAGACTATGAAAACGTGAAAGTCGAATAAAACTCGAAAAATAGTTCATAAAAAGTGTCGATTTTAATTTGTGAGAATAACATCCAAACAATGGAAGAAAAGTACGCATGAACAAAATATTGGATATGAAGATTTTCGAGATTGCGGTTTGGGATAAACTTACAGACTCAAAATGGACGGTGGTAGATGGATTGAAAACAAACCAACTGATCATTTTCGAAGTGCAGTAAGCCCTTCAAACGTTCATTAGATGAGACTGCATAGGTGGGTCGTATCAATTACGTTCGAGTTTTTGGATGCCGGTGGTGGGTTGCCGAAGGTGATCGAAAGGAAGTCGAACTTGATGTATGGAATGGAGAAGTGGGCTACTCGGCATGGTATTAAGATGATGGCTCCTCTTCGAGTTCTCCCAAAAAGTAACCGGCAGAAAAGTCCTCTGTAAAATCGAATGAAGGATGGTACATTAGTAAAGGATGGATGAAAACAGGTTCGAAATTTACCTCTAGAAGAGATAGAAAAATAGGGCACTGCTAAGTGCCTTGGTCGTGTGAGGAGGATGCCATGGTTAACATAAAGTGGACGACGAAGTCGGTTACCATGAAGGCGTTACTCCGGTAACGTCGGGCCATGACGAGTGGTGTCGGACAAACGGAAGAGAGGGAACCAATGTATAAAATAGCTCAGGCGCATCATTTTGGGGCGTTCAGGCTTGTTGTTGATGCCCACCACGTCGAGGAGGAGGTGGGGGGGGGTCAGCTCGGAGTTACTTGGGACTTCCACAAATACTGCCGGAGTGGTGAATCATCATCAACCGTCGATAATCGTAGGCGGAATGACAAGATCATTGTCAGCTTGATGTCTCGTTCGAACCATGTGAAGAATGAGAAGCAATGAAGGAACGACGATACTTTGAATCGAACGAGTGGATTATGGCCGTGGGTTGTTGAGAAAATAAAAGAAAAAGAGTGAAAGAAGACAAGAGTTTTTAAAAATAATGGTTTTCATAACCGGACGATTAGCGAACCGGCCATGCTATCGGTTCACTAGTTTAACCGGTTAAACCGGTTCGACCGGTCGGAAGAACCGGATGACGTCATAATTATTTAAAAATTAATAAAATACCAAAAATATTTAATAAAAATAATTTTTTATATCACAAGTTATATTCAAAGCAAGTCATAACATATATAAGTTAAAAACCATAAAATCAAGTGAAACAAAATGATTCAAATTAACTACAACATAATTTAAGGTAAAACATATTAAATAATAAAATAATTATATAACTATAATTAAAAAATAAATTTGGGGCTAAAAAAATCATAACAAAATGATATTGTTTGGTTTAATTTTTTTTTTTAAAAACAATCTCATATGGCTAAGAAACATAGAAGAGCATCCCAAAAGTCTAAAGAGTGAAAATATGAGAACAAAAAATCCACATGGCTAAGAAACATAGAAGAGCATCCCAACTAACTTCTATAAATAGAGGTAATTGTCATTCAAAATCATGGAGCATTTTGGTGAGCATTGAGTGAACTATTCTTTCACTTCAATCAAGCTCGAATTTTAGGCTTCAATCGAGCTTCTAAATATTTTTTGAGTTCAAGCCTTTTCGAGTTCAAGTTTCAATATTATATTTCGAGTTAGAGTTGAACTTGATAATTTTTAGCTCATGAGTTTGAGTCGAGTTGAGCTTAATTTTAAAGTTTTCAAGTTCGAGTCGAGCTCAACAATACTCGAGTTCGACTTGGCTCATTTAACAAATGACGTCGTTTGGTTTAATTTAAAAAAAACAAAATTGGCAGTTTTTCCGGTTTTCAGCCGGTCCGGTTTGAACGGTTCAACGGTTCTGGCCGGGTCATTAGTAGCGGTTCAACCGGTGTAGATTGAACCGGACTAGACAACGGTTCCCAGTTGAACCGGTCGGTCCGGTCCGATTTTCAAAACACTGGTAAAAATAAAGTTATTTTTTAATATAATAAGTACATGGGATTTGGTGTTTTGAATAAAGTGGGGTGTGTTTGAAAAAAATAAAAGAAATAAGGTGGGGTCCATAAAATTTTCTTTTAAAAAAAGAAATGATAGAGGTCGGTAAACTTTGTAGGGGAGTTTGGTGGGAATTTCTGCTGTGTGGCGTCTAAAAAACGGCTAATATACGGCGTGATCGATTAAAATTTAGATCGGTTATGTTATATTATTTAACCAGAAATATTATCAAGTACAATAACATATTAGGTAACGCTTATATAATGTACTAGGTAGCGCTTATATAATGAAATAGGTATTTAACCGGAAATATTATCAAGTACAATAACATATTAGGTAAAGCTTATATAATGTAATAGGTAGCGCTTATATTGACCTATTTTATAAGTAAACCGGTATATTTATACCGGTAACATTGCAAATTTACCTATTACATTATAATTATCGGTTTCGATGTTTTTTGGATCGATACTTTTTATAAATGTATCGACACTATATGCGTTCACCTATTTGGGCATTCATTCTGGAAAAAAGTATCGGCACAACATTAAAAAGTGTCGACACATTATGTACACCTATTCTCACATAAAACCGGTATAAATACCAGTTATATTACAAATTACCTATTACATTATAATTATGGGTTTCGATGTTTTTGGGATCGATACTTTTTAAAAATGTATCGACACTTTATGAGTGCACCGTCTGGCATTCATTATGGACAAAATGTATCGACACTTATTAAATTTGTGTCGATACTTTATGATGACCTATTTTCTCATAAAACCGGTATATTTATACCGGTTACATTGTAAATTTACATATTATATTATAATTATCGGTTTCAATTTTATTGGATCGATACTTTTAATAATTGTATCTTTATGCGTGCACCCCGTTTGGGCATTATGGAAAAGTATCGACACAAATTACAGAAGTGTCGATACATTATGTTGACCTGTTTTCTAATTAACCGATATATTTATAACAGTTACATTGTTAATTTACCTATTACATTATAATTATTGGTTTCGATTTTTGGGTTGATACTTTTAGAAAATGTGTTGACACTATTTAGGTAGTTATTGTACACACCTAAATAGTCACGCGAATTTAATGTTGTACCCACCCTTCAACTACCACTACCAATACCACATCCTATTGAAAGCACGACTGAAACATGTTGAATGAACTTTTGCTTACATCTCCATCAACTCCGGGACCACTGAACTTGCACAACAAAATTTTTTGCCATGGATCATACTGATGCAGACAATGTTAAGCCAACCGAGGAATGCCATGAAGTACATAATGTTGATGAATCTGACAGATTGGTTGGTCAACTCTTCTCTTCACGTGATCAAGCTTGGTACTTTTACAAGGGATTCGCATGGGAACATGGGTTTAGTGCACATAAGGGAAACACGGCTTGACGTGGAAGGGAATATAAGAACACAAGTGTTTTGTTCCAAAAAGAGTTTCGAGTATCAAAAGCCAATTGTTGATCGTCAACGTGCTCATACGCCAGTCACAAGAAACAGGATGCAAGGCTAGAGTCGTAGTTACACCAAAAAATACAAACGATCACTGGGTTAAACTAAGTCTTATCATAAACATAATCATGCATTGTGCACACCTGCTATGACACCATTTATGCGCTAATCGAGCTGTAAGTAAGGCTATATCGATGAGGCAACAACATTGAAAGAGGTTGGTGTTGGCACGTCACAAGTAATGAACTATTTAACGCAGTAGGCAGGGCGCTATCATAATGTTGGATTTACACATAAAGACCTCTACAATGCACTTCAAAGAGGTAAAGCAAAGGAAATCGTCGATGGGGATGTGAATGCGCTTATTGCTTGCTTGATTATAAAAAACATGATGATCTCGGGTTTTTTATGACATACTCGGTAGACGAATCAGGGGCATTGCATAATCTCATTGGTCGGATTCTACATCGAGATCAGATTACACATGCTTCGGTGATGTAATTGCGTTCGACACAACGTACAAAGATAATTTGTAGGTGACCAATTATGCCTATTGTCGGTGTCATCACCATAACACAATTGTGTTTGCCACTGCCATAATCACTGATGAGACATCCCAATCTTTCTAGTGGGTGCTACAGAATTGTTTAGAAGCCATGATGAATAAATTGCCTATTTCAGTTGTCACCGATAGGGATAGGGAAATGTAGAGGGCTATCAAATCTGTTATCCCTTATGCTAAGCACATATTATGTTCTTGGCATCTTTCTCGGAATGCACAAGCTAACATTGGTGACCCAAAATTTACAGCAACATTTTCAAAATGCATGGCTTCCTGGTGGACATCTGAGGAATTTGATATTCAATGGCGTTCGGTTGTTTCAGAATTCAATGTCGAAAAGCATCCATGGGTGATTGAGAAGGGAAATACTCGGTACGTATGGGCAAACATATAACCGGTCATTTCTTTGCCAATATTGCTCAACACAAAGGTGCGAGTCTATGAATGCTTCACTAGCGATTGCACTGAAACACAAGAAGACATATTTAGATGTTGTTCGTGCAATTGAAGATGAAATTAGTAGAATGCGTATGAACGATTTGAAAGCGGATTACTTAAGTTCCCAGACGAAGCCCTTCCAGATCACAAAACTGGTCGAACTTGAAAACCATGCTGCTGAGATTTTTACCTGCGAATCTTTTCGTGCGTTCCAAGATGAACTTCAACGGGAGACATTGTACCAGATTGAGGAAGAGATTTAGTCCTTATCATGAATGTCATTATATTTTGACAAAATAAAAAAAAAAAATAGAACATTTGAAATTAGTTTTGATTCTCGTACAAAAACCCTAATTTGCTCATGCAAAAAATTCGAGACAGTTGGACTTCCGTGTCGCCATCAACTTCACATTTTAAAGCACTTGGATTACACATATTTGCCCGGGACTTTGATTCAAAGTAGGTGGACTAAGGATGAGAAGGCTTCTGCACCCAGTTATGTTAACTTGAATGTGCCTCCAGAAGTGATGCAAATGGCAAGGTTCGCTACTTACGTTCAACGTCAAGTAGGTTATGCTACTTGCATCAAAGACAGACGTGTCTTTCAAAACCGCAAGAGATGAGATGTAAAGACTAATAGAAGAATTTGAAAACTCGTTTGGTTTGAATGATTCAGTCAACCAGAGCAGTGTAATAAACAACGTTCGCGCCCCTCAACGAAAACAACGTAAGAGAAAAGAAGTATCGAAGAACAAGGTCGAGAAGAAAATTAGGCGATGTGGGTACTGCAATGGTGAGGGACGTAACAAACTAACATGTCCCAAGTCAAGCTCAGTTTGAATACAATCACACATCCTACATCAACTGATTTTTTCGAAGATGGAATGGAATTGCCATTCAGTCCCACACATGATGACAACGATCTCCATATATCGTAAGTATCAACATGACTCCTATTGTGTATAAGAAACATGTACAACAACCTATTGCTAACTTTCTCATCTCATACATAATTACATTCACATACAAAATTATAAATCGTATATAACTTATACAAAATTACCCTACATAAACAAAATTTCGTCTCTTAGTCTATTTTGATTATGGCTTACGAGACCGTTTAATATTTCATCGCATCATCACATAAATGCCAAACAATGTAGACTATATTCTCCCGCAATCATGGCCGAAATCAGTTCTGTAACTGGAATTATCCTGGTTACTCATGTTGACTGCATAGCTAATAAAACTATCCTATATAAAATTAAGAACAATTCTTTAACAACTGATACAATTATTAAACGTAGTGTTCAATCATGCACTGCTTACGTTGGAGGGCTCTAAACCCTAAACCATCAAAAGCTTGCATTACCAATTCCTAGCTTACCATTTGGACCCTGCAAGGGGTTTTTATTGGCTGTTGTCAACATGATTATGAGCTTCCTTTATCCTTTCGCATTCAGTAAGACTGTAGAGATTTGAATAAATTAAATTGAATTAAATACTTTAATCCAATTACTATTTCGAGAACAATTACATGAATACATTAATACTTACTGGTCACTTTCGATTTTCTTAAATATTGATACGCTAGGGCTCCATTTGAAGGTCATCATCTTCGCGAACAAAATTGAACTTGCAACCTATAACCATTCACAAACAGGAAAATTTAAAATCTAACCCCTTTTTAAAAGATTTTCTAAAAATTAGGGTTTCGACCACATACCTATCGAACACAAGAAATCTGGTATGTCCTAATAGAGGGTTTGCATTTGGGGTTTATAGCGTTATATATAATAATGAAGGAAGAAAAAACGTGTTATTACAAGTATCGACACAAATCTAAAACGTGTCGATATATTATGTTCACCTATTTTCTCATAAAACGGTACATTTATACCGTTACATTGTAAATTTACCTATTACATTATAATTACGGTTTCGATGTTTTTGGGATCGATACTTTTTATAAATGTATCGAAACTTTCTGCGTTCACCCTTTTGGGCATTCATTCTGGCAAAAAGTATCGACACATCATTTAAAAGTGTCAACAAATTATGTAGACCTATTCTGACATAAAATCGGTATATTTATACTGGTTATATTACAAATTAACTACAAAATTAACTATTAAAATATAATTAGGGGTTTCGATGTTTTAGGGATCGATACTGTTTAAAAATGTATCG